ATACCGTCCTCTGCCTGCATGTCCAAAATGCTGCCGCAAAAAAATAATTATTTCAAAATATTTCGTTATTTCAACAATTATCTACACTTTAAACTATAATTCATCGCAGAAGTCATGTATTAAGGGCAAAGTCTACTTGTACAGCAAAGCTTTCACTTTGCAGGCATTCGCTACTGTACCTAGTTTTAAAGTTTGCTGGCATATTACTGAACAGGTTTATTGACGTTCAACCAATTTTCACACATTTCTAAAAAATTGAATAATGAAAAAAAGCCTCATCTACTTTTGAAATTATAAGGACGGTATTCTATAACCTGAGTATCAGGCCCTTATGTTTTCATTCGCCAGGATTAAATGGCGGCGGCGAATGAAGGAGGGCCTGATACAATTCTTTACCGCGGCGCATGTAAAAAGCCAGATTCTGGCTTTTTCGTCTGATTGGCCGATTAGACAAACGATTTTTTAAATCTGTCATTTGATTGGCTGGTGCTAATTAGATTATACTATTGTCAGTTGTTGATATATTTTATAACGATCCCACTTAACGGCTGAATTTAAATTTAAACTGCAGTAAAATTAGAAAATAATCGCAAATTAGCGAAATATATTGCAAATGTAGCTTATATTAAATCGCCATCAGATTGCACTATCGACTAACTGACGTATAGTTATAAAGTATACTTAATATATATATATACTTTATAATTATATGTCAGTTTGTTGATAAATACGGTAAGCGCCATGTAAAGCTCTTTAATTGTAGTCACTGAAACCTCTGCGGAGGAGAGAGCAATTGGGTGGCGATTTAATATAAGCTACATTTCCAATATATTTCGCTAATCTGTGATTATTTTTGTTAATTTTATAAGTTCATTGCAGTTTTAATTTAAATTCTGCCGTTTAGTGGGCTACCTATTCTATAATTACATTGTTGTTGTCGTTGTGTGAAATTTAAATTTCTCCTGCGACATTTTGATTGGATACTAAATATAAACTTTGCTGTGGGTGGAAAGCGACCAGGTTAAGTTTTGTGTCAGGCTCAATTTGTAAAATAGAGCCTGATACTCAGGTTAGGTATTCTATGACTTTAATTCCCTAGTTAGACGTTCTCTGGTTTTTAAATATTTATTATTATGAGCTTTTGATTGCCAGTCTGCAACGAGTGGAATACAATGAGAGTGTGACAATTAAAATGGTTTACAATTACATATAGATACAAAATGACAAAAAGGACAGTTCCGCTTATATATACAAGATTAATGATTTAAATTACATGTAGACAGATTAAAGATCTAGACACACTGGACGTGATTCGACAACTTGACGCGATTTTTTTATTTTCACTCACCGATAACTTTGATCCTAGTTTGAATTTTCCAAATATTTAGAAGTGCCATAACATAGCAAATTCGTAAAACAATTGCACTAACATTTCTGACAATTCACTATTTTGCCAAGGCAATCTTTTAAATTGAAAGGGCACCTTTGCCTCACCTTGGCCCTCCTGGTAAAGGGCAACGGGGGTGGCTGCCCCCCAGTTCCAGCGTCCCTGCTCGCATGGTCTACAAGATCAACTGTGTAGATTACTCATGGAGCTACATTGATGGAAATACCAGGGCATTCAGCACTAGGCGAAAGGAACACGGGAGGAGTGCAGAGCTTCTAAAAAGTGGTTCAAATATCGCTAATCACACTTGGACGAACAACCATAAAATAGATTTTAATAGCAAGCATAGAGGAACACTTGAATTATGGCACTGTGCATGCACAATTCGGAACATTTACCAAAACAATACCGCTTTCTACTTAGCAAAAAAACTATGAATCTACCTACATGTAATTTAAATAATTAATCTTGTATGTAAGCAGAACTGTCGTATTAGTCATTTTGTATCTATATGTGATTGTAAACCGTGAAATCCACCGTGCTAATTCTAGCTATAGGCATGTGGCATCAATTCTCATCAAGAGGGTTTCAGGGCTTTCCAACTCAGAAAATTGCGCGCGCGGACTATCGCGCGGGCAAATCAAACTGCGCGCGCGATTATTAGACGTTTATTTTATACACACCCATTGACCTAGACAAAACAATAACACATCAAGCTAGAAGGACATGTCAATGCAGTTTTACACATATATTAGCATGCAAATATTGACTAAATAAAGCGTCATGTGTATAACTCAACTTTTGAGAACGTTACAACATAAGAAGCACAAATGCTCGTGATAAAATTTATACATGATTTCAATGTTTCTGGAAGGATACATATGATCAAGCTTAGTTATTGTACCTCTTGTTTGTACTTAATTTAAACTTACTTAATAGAATTTCACTTATGAATAACTATAAGTAAAGTTATAAAATCAGAATCAAATGAAAGCACGCGGCAAAATTCAGGTTCACTTCAGAGTTTGCAAAAGAATTAAACGGCTATACAGGGTGTATCAAAAAAAAGGTAATCGAACTTCAGCGCGCTATTATACGTGAATTACTCTGCGTATGAACAATTGGTTTTCATATTCAGAAAGATCAGGCTTTTAGCTATTGAATGACATGCTTTTTATACCAAGTGGAGAAAAAATAAGCATGTACGAGGCCGATTAAAAATGTTAGTCAAAATCGCATATTTTCACCTCTGTGCCTAATTAAAACAATGCATAACAAAAGAAAAAAGCAATTAATCACGAACGTGTCGTCGCTTAGCTAAGATTATGAATATGTGTGCAGTTTAATGAAGTGAAATTCATCAACTTAAGTCCTAAAGGGAATTCATTTTCAATGGTTTTAGACCTAACTCTCAACGGTGAAAATATGCGATTCTGACTAAGTGTTATTTTCTGCCGGCTGAGGAACGAAAGAGGCAGAAAATGTTTTTCTCACACACTGCTGGGGGATTGGGTCAAGGGTGGGGTCAAGGTCATCAGAGTCACTTTTTTGCTTGCCTCGTGCTAGCCTGACCTGTGTTGTTTTTGTTGAGCGAAAAATTTGCCTTTGTTGGCTTGGTAGTCATGCCAAAAGAATCAAATCAACCTAAATCAGACTCTAGAGCGTTACGGCGCCTAGATCCGTACAATAGAAGTCCTCGAGAGCGGGAAGAAAGTCCAGAACGAAGTTCGCGCCATTCGAGTGGCGAAAAAGCAAGATCGCGTCCTTCGCAATCCGCCAGTCGTTCAGAGACTCGTAGTCGCTCACGTTCGCCATCTGAACCGCCACAATGGGCGAGAGAGTTGTTAAAGAATCAGGAGGATTATAGCAAAGAAATGAAACGTCTACAAAGCGAAATCGAGCGTGATCGAGCGTCTATGTCGACGCGGGATTGTGGGCAAACTATGGGTGTTGTTTTGTCTACTTTTTGGTGAATGTTAAAACGAACGAATGTACGTACGTGAACTGTCAATAATATGCGAATAAATAAATAACTAAAAAATTGAATTGTCAATACCAAATGGCCTGTTAGGGGCACAATGGCCTGTTAGGGGCACAATAGCCTGTAAGGGGCACAATAGCCTGTAAGGGCAGAATCGCCTGTTAGGGGCAAATGGCCTGTTAGGGGCACAATAGTTTGAAAGGGGAAAATACCAGAGTGGAGTTCTGCCCATGGGGGCCGTTGTTGTTTACCTGACAAGAATTATGGCAAGCTTTGTCAAAGCCTGTTGCAGAGTTGAACCACATGACAGTTTTTGGAACTCAGTTCAGCAGCAAGTAGCCAATTGGCTTCGGGTGGCCTGTCAGGGGCGCAATCACTGTGTAATTGCCTGTTAGGGCAGAATTGCCTGTAAAGGGCAAATGGCCTGTTAGGGGCACAATAGCCCGTAAGGGCAGGATGGCCTGTTAAGGGCAAATTGGCCTGTTAGGGGCGGAACAGCCTGTAAGGGACAGATGGCCTGTTAGGGGCACAATAGCCATAAGGGCAGAATCGCCTGTAAGGCAGAATTGCCTGTAAGGGCAGAATTGCCTGTAAGGGCAGAATTGCTTGTAAAAGCAGAATTGCCTGTTAGGGCAGAATTGCCTGTTAGGGCAGAATCACCTGTAAAGGCAAAATTGCCTGTTAGGGCAGAATGGCCTGTGTAGGGCAAATGGCCTGTTAGGGGCACAATAGCCCGTAAGGGCAGGATGGCCTGTTAGGGGCATTAATGGCCTTTTAGGGGCACAGTATCCTTTTAGGGGCACGATATCCTGTTAGGGGCACAATATCCTGTAAGGGCAATTTGCCTGTTTGAGGCACAATAGCTTGTTCAGGATTGCCTGCCAAGGAAACAATACGTATTAGAGTTACAGTGGGCAACACTTGGAAGGACTAAATGACAGTTGTTATCACATACATGGTGTATGTGCAGGTGGAGCAGCAGCAGCAGCCGCTTTGGGTGTGCCAATCCTGTTTCACTAACATGGGGAGTGACAGCCTAGGACAGATGCTGTGAAGAGAGATTATACTCTTTGTTATTAGTAACAAAAACTGTTAAGATAAGAACACTTAATTAAGAGGCTTCTCCCAAAGCCTCTTGAACACTCTATGCGCTTTTTGCCTTGCGTGTCCCTC